CGAAAATAACCGAACCGAAATGTGAAAACCGAAAACCGAACCGAACCGTGAAGTTGTGATTCGTTGCACCCCTAGTTATTATCCACGTAACCGTGGGCTACGCAGTAAACTATCCAGATCCAGATCCAGATTGTAAAAATAGTATGATGGCCATGCAATGCTAAAAACTTCGAGGAAAACACGGGAATTAGCACAGGCACTTGAAGCGTTTCAATAAAATATAATGCTAACTAAATACGAAATCTATTTACTACCAAATTCTTAATGTTTCTATACTCTCTTTCACCTATTATTACCGACAGTTTTCTGTCAAATCCTACGTGCAACAATATACGCTGCCGGCGCCATAATACACTAATATATATAGCAGGTAGGAAAGCGGGATCGCAAAATTCACTCGACGCTCGCTAGATTTCACACTTTCACAGCACGAATACACATCCAACAGCTGCCATCTTTGTTTCCATGTCAAGAACAGTGTTCACTTGTTATAAAAACATACTGTCTCTGTTCGTAACCGAGCTGTGTCACGCGAAATCACACAAAGACTGACGAAATTCTCGCGTTCGCGAACCTTGCCCCGTAATGTAAATGGCTGTCAGAATCAGGGCTATATAGACTGGGACTCGCTCCCACCTCGATTACCCATCGAGTGACTAAGCTAAGCCAAGAGGTGGGAGCGAGAAAAGAGGTGGATAAACGTTCCAGCGTTGCGGCGCAAGAATGAGGTCACGAAGAGCGCTGGTAGGTGTTTCCTGATTCTGACAGCCATTTACATTACGGGGCAAGGTTCGCGAACGCGAGAATTTCGTCAGTCTTTGTGTGATTTCGCGTGACACAGCTCGGTTACGAACAGAGACAGTATGTTTTTATAACAAGTGAACACTGTTCTTGACATAGAAATAAAGATGGCAGCTGTTGGATGTGTATTCGCGCTGTGAAAGTGTGAAATCCAGCAAGCGTCGAGCGAATTTTGCGATCCCGCTTTCCTACCTGCTATATATATTAGTGTAAGCGTGCAACAGTAGAGCCGCGAGAGCAATGTCGCCGGCAGCGTATATGGTTGCACATAGGATAGGATTTGGACGGAATTGACAGGAACCTGTCGGCAATAATACTAATAGGTGAAAGAGAGTATAGAAATATTAAGAATTTGGTAGTAAATAGATTTCGTATTTAGTTAGCATTATATTTTATTGAAACGCTTCAAGTGCCTGTGGGAATTAGGACAATACTGTCAATAGTCAAAACTGACAATAGTCAATAGCCTGTAAGGTAAGGACTAAGGAGTAAGGGTGTAGTATAACCGATTTTTTAAATAGATTTTTCAATGGAATATGGAAAGCATACTAGAAAATGTAATTAGAGCCTACTTGCAAAAAAGGTATTGCATAAATATATGGCGAGATTCGTGGTACTGTGTTTCTGTGATTGTAATCTTTCTTGATCTAAAGACAGTAAAGACAAGTCTTACCTCACCATTTGTTATGTTGATGCCCAAGTATATATCACCAAAAGAACCACTACCAATCTTTCTAACAAGCCGGTATTTTCCACCAACATGGAATTCAGACTTTGAAGTAACGACCGGTGCGGCCATGTCTCAGTTTATATCAGGGAAAAATACTGAGAGTATGATATTCCTTCTGTTTTCGCAATATTTGCTAAAAGTCAGCCATTTTTCTATTCCTACAATAGGCCCCAATCGCGATACACTCTGACGCGGATATCATAGGGGGCGCTCATGCAAATTGCAAACGTCACAGCAGAGGTCACAGTTCACGACGAGGCTGCGCGTGGATTATGGGAAATGCATATCACCAGAGCATATCACCACAGACTATCCGTTAGTCTGTGATATCACTGACACTGATGCACTGGAATAATATATATTAAATATAATATAATATAAATATATAATTATAGTAATAATTATATTATAATTATATTACATATATATATATATAATCATATCAGATATTATCTGATTGCTAACTCATGCATGTGGTGTATAGTAGTTCGTGCATAATTTGACATTTAGCGTGTTTTGATGCCATAACAGTAAATATACTTGATAAAATAAAAAGATGTCTTTCTTCGGGGCCATCTTTGGATTTTAAGGAAAATTTTTTATGATATTTAACTTCTAATCGATATGGCCTTTATTAATTTGTATGAGGAAATATATCTGAATGTGTAAAGCTTTCCACCTGCACGTTTGCCCTTAATAATATACTCAAGCTTTTATGCAAAATTTCATTGATTTTTTATTTTTATTTCTCGATGCATGTAATGTATGCATGTAATGGATGCAATGTAATGCATGTAACGATGCATGTAAACTTTCAGAGCGTTTTGATTGCTCGCGTACGTGTGTAGTGAGCCGTGGCCCTTTAAACACTGATGACGTCATATATATGATACAATCAGCCTTTTCACGGTATTCATTATGCCAGAAACTATCGGCACCATAGATATCACATAATAACTATGTTATGTGATATCTATGATCGGCACCAACTCTTCTACGGCAGCCATCTGCCAGTGACACAGTAGTCGATGTATAAATATGGATATTACTCTGTCATTACAACTTGGAATAATTTAATTTTACACATTGCTGCGCGTCACAATTTGTTATTAAGTGCCGTCTTTGATGAATTATGGTTCTTTATTTGCGGAAACTTTTAATCCAAACATACAACTTAAATTTTAGGCAATTTCTTTTATTTTTTACAGAAAATATATGGAACTTGAAAAAGAGAAATCCTAAGGCGCGATTTTGGTGGATGTTGTGCTTAACTTGTGGCAAGAATTTTGCTTTCATGCTTTTTGTGGTAATTGAAAAATATCCAAAATACGAATTTTACATAAATATTCAAAATATGTGCTGTCACATAATGAGGTGCAGGAAATTTCAAAAAAACTTTTGGCTTGGGCATAGAAATACATCTCTTCTACAAATATAACGCGTGATTGATTCGAATCGTTTGTCAATAAACGTTTACTCTTCATTAAAGCAAAACCCGTGCAAAATCTCGAGTGTAACCGTAAACAAAATTGGAAAAAACTAGCTGGAAATAATCATGTCATACAAAAATTCGCAAGACGTTTGGACTATGAATTTAAAGTCTTCTGAATGGAAGTACACCTAAGTATTTGTAATTATTTTTTTATGTTATGTCCTATCTCTGCTGTCTGCCAAAGCCTTAGATAGAGATAGAGATGATTCTCATAATCTAAGGCTCTGCTGCCTGCACTAATATATATATATATATATATATATATATATAGAGAGAGAGAGAGAGAGAGAGAGAGAGAGAGAGAGAAGAGAGAGAGAGAGAGAGATAGAGAGAGAGAGA